AAAAAGAAGAAAGAAAGAAATGAAAACTGCATTTTCCCAAATGCCATCTCTTAATGAGTATGATATTTTAAAAAGAAGTGTTCCAAGATCCGCTATATTTGGGAAATCTAGTATATTTTCTACACTCTGCCCCAGGATTCTCAGTGTTTTGCATACTAAAGGCTTGGTGAAATCTTGTAACAAACAAATCTATTTTACTGTGTTTAATAAAATGACTTCCAAGCTTATATGGCTAATCCATTTCAATCAGCAGTCCCATTCCATGGTCTTGGGATCCCAATCCAGCACACAGTTCCCCAGGGCAGCAATAGTCTGGCACAAGGCTTAGCTTCCAGTACACACGAGTAGAAGTTGAATGAATAAATGACCAAACCTAGGATGAGCTGGCCCAGAATGTGGAGCATTTAGAAGCAGAAAATTCTGGGCTCAGATATTTTATTAAAATGAAGTGGGCTAACTTGGGAGCTATTAGCTCCCCAGGCCGCAGTATATTCAATCAGAGCTAAATAACTACTCTCCCCATACCGCCACTCACCTGTGCCATGCATGAATCTCTCTCTGCTCCTTAGCCTGTATTTAGTAGGTGCCTATGGAGGGGACCATTGAACCCTCAAAAAGTGTCCCATGTTCATCATTGCCATGTCCCAGTTCCTATTATCCCAAAACAACTGACCTCTTCCAGTCTGTCTACCTGAGGATAGAGGTCCCATCACAGTGTGAACAAAGATCAGGGGCTCTGGGAGCTTGCACAAGGCCAGCCTTGGCCCTCCACCCCAAGAGCCACTTGTGCTATAGGCTGGTGTCCCCATCTCCCTATCTGTGAAGTCACATGAACAGGGAGGAGGAACAGAGCTTTGACAGGACTGAGCTCAGGCATGAGAGTTCGAAGGGACTGTGAAACCATGTGGAAACTGAGGTCTGGAGAGGTGCTGTGGCTGCCCCAAGGCTGCCCTGCCAGACGGGGAGAGATCAGAGGTAGAGAGCACAGCCTGGCCTGGGCCAGATGCCACCCCTGCTGTGCACCACTTCCCCTCTTCGACTTTGTAGCTTCTGTTTCAAAGCCTTGGTTCTCCTGTCTGCAGACCAGAAAAACCCAAATTATGGTGTTTTGAGAGTTTTATACTCCATTCTGTGACCTGAAAAATGCAAGAGAAATTGAACATACATTTCTCCCCAAAATGTTTCGTTAAAACACTTTCCCTCCTGGATGAAAAGAAAAACAGGACTGCCACTATCTCTAGTGCACATCCTGGGATCAGACACACTGGGGTCCTAGTCCGGCCTTGGGTACTGCCTCCTTGATGCTGGGTCTGTGAAATAGGGTCAGGCAGTTCCTTCTTACCTGGACTTTGGTGAGGCTGACCTGAGAGACACCTGCTCTTTGAGGTGACTGGCACATGATAGGGACAAGGACGATATGCATTCCCATCTTTTCTCCTCCTAGCCCTGAGAGCTCACATGCCCTACTGGGTGAATGCCCAGCCCCAGCTCTTACCCAAGAAGGAGGCCTACTTTGGTGTCCCCTTTGGGCTTGGCCAGGTGGTGGCAGAGAAACCTGCATTCCCCCCACGAAAAAAAAAAAAAGAATTGCTCCTGGGCAGGATTCTACCTCACCTGCTTCTCCCTCCAAGCAGAAAAGCAATCTCATTAGCTATTTATGTATGCACTGGGAATGAGGCTGTGCTCGCCCCTCCCACCTCCTCCCTTCCCCCACAGCTGGCAGCTCCTGGAACCTGAGCCAGGGCCAGTCTTCCAGAGAATGACAGACTCAGAGCTGGCAGAGCCTTGGAGATCATCTGTTCACTTGACAGATGGGGAAACGGTCAAGGGGGAAGTGTGGAGATATGTCCAAGTCCTTGAATCCAGAAGAGGCCAGACCTACACTCAGCTGGAGTCTCCAGACCCCCTACCTCAAAGTTGACCTGGAGCTTTTACATTTATTCTAAATCCTGAGGGCAGCAGAGTGAAGAGCTCTGGCTTTGTGCTCAGGCAACTCCATCCATCCTGGCTCTGGCTATGTGATGTTAGGAAAGTGACTTGCCATTGCTGAGCCCCAAGTCCTTCGTGGACAGCACGGAAATAATGGGTTTAGGATTTTAAATGACAGGATGTTTATAAGAAGTTGGTGCTGAACTGGCACGTAGAAGCTCCCAGTAAATAACAGTTACAGTATATACTGTCATTCTCAGTACTAATGACTTTGGGAACTTGGTAATTCTTTGTTGTGAAAGGCTGCCTTGTGCATTTTGGAGAGTTTAGCAGTACCCTAGCTTCTGCCTGTCACATTCCAGTAGCGATACCTCCCCCCAAGTTAGGACAACCAAAAATATCTCTAAACATTAAAAATGGCTACTGGGGTTAGAATCTACCCTTTCCAGAAAGCTGGCCTAGAGAAGTCCCACTTAGCATTCTGGGTTCGCTCCGATGTCACCCACTCTGTGCACCTTTTTTCTTCCTTGATCTGCCATGAAAAATTGCTTTGTACTCCACACTCCAGGGCTCAGCTCCTGGCATGCTGCATGTCCTTGGTCAAGTCACTTCACTTCTCTAAGCCTCCAGTTGTCATCTGTAGCATGGGGAGAATATGGCAGTCCTGGGAGGGATTTGGTAAGGGCTAGGAAGTCTTGGTCAAAAGTGATCAAAAGTACCTGGCACAGCAGGCAAACAGTTTTTAAATATCACAGGCGGTGGAGTAATACAGTATAAAAGTTAACCCACCCCAATTCCACTTCATGGATAAACACTGCTACAAATACTATACAGTTGTGCAGAATTTTCATTATGTGCTTGTGTGTTGATGTCTTTCTTTTCTTAACCACTGCTGAGCACCTGAAAGAGGCCTACTTTGGGGATCACTGAGCAAAGGGGAGGGAGGGAGCTCATCTCCAAACCAGTACTCACCAAGCCTGGGACTATGCTAAGAGCTTTTCTTGAATTACTTCATTTAATCTTCAGAGAACTGTTGGTAGGTAGTGTTGTTATTTATTTGTTTTGCTCATGAGGAAATGGGCTCCGAGGGATTTGGTGACTTGTTTGGTCACCTAGGTTTGGCAGGGCTAGAATCTGAGGTCAGTATAACTAGGTCGCATATATCTGCCTTGCTGCTGGACTGGAAAATTATCCCCACCCTCCCTACCTGACTTTGTATTGAGAGTACTCAGCACAAGACCAGTAGGGACTGGCCTGTTATGCCAGCTGACGCCTGAAGGGCAGGTGGCTAGGATGTCATCTTGGTCAGGCGTGGCGTCCGGCTGTGGCCATCTCAGGTTCCTAACCCCCAGAAGGATCCAGTTCATCTCAGCCACCCCCTCCAGGCCTCATGTGACCACTGGAGCTTTCTCAAAGCCTCCTTCATGCCAGCGGATGAGCCCTGGATGGGAGCCCTCAGAGGCTGGCACAGGGAGCTGGAGCTGCCAGGGCAGCCCCAAGAGGAAAAAGCAGGGTTGGGGATGGAGTTCAGATCTTGGCTCTGGCTCCCTCCAGCAGAGTGGAGGGCCTGGCCTTCTCTGTGGCCATTCTCTACCCTGAGAACTGGAAGGAGGAACAAAATGCCCACTTTCTGTGTAGAAAGGGAGAGAGTTGCTGCCCATCCCAAGAAATGACAGGTGCTGAGGTACTTATTTTGTTACTTGAACAGGGGCGCAGCTGGGTTATCCCTGTCCTGGGGCAGTGGCCTCTGCTGTCCTTCCCAAGAGAGGGCAGGGTTTATGTGAAAACAGCAGCCTCCATGGGGGCAAGGCTGGCGGTGGCCATCTCTAGCTCCCTCCTTACAGGAATCTGGGCAACCAGATAGGGCAGCTTGGCCAGGCTGAGCACAAGCCACCACACAAAAACTTACAGTTGAAGTTGGGGGGCCGGGGATTTAGCTCAGTGGTTCCAGCACCTGCCTCACAAGCTCAAGGTCCCGAGTTCAATCTCCGCTACCAAAAAAAAAAAATGAAGTTAGGGACTGCAGAATGCTTATTTTATGGAAATAAAAGGATCTGGTGACAAAGAGTGATAACAGAATTACAACTCTGAAAAAAAGAAAATGTTTTGAGCACTTACAATGTGCCAGGTGCTATGCTAGGAGCATTTCATCCCCACAAGAGCCCTTTTTCCTTTCCCTGCATCCTGAGCGGAACAGAGCCCAACGCCATTCCCCAGATGAAGACTCTGAGGCCAAGAGATTCTGGAGCTAGCCTGAGATCTCACACAAGTGGGAGGAAGCCTGGGGTCCAGTCTGGCTCTGACTCAGAACTCCCCCTCTTTCCCAGCACTCTGACCACCCCAGGGAGCCTCTGCATGAGCAGGTCCCCCACCCCCACCCCGGCCCTTAGGCCAAGGCTCTCCGCACTTTGTAGATGGGAAAACTGGTTTGCCAAGGGGACCAGAGCTCAGCTCCCACTCAGTCTGGCTGCTTTGCAAGCGTCATTGGCTGTCCCAACATTGAGCTTTGGCTGGACAATGAGAGTAGGCATGGAGGACTTGCAGGCAGGTTCCATCTTGGATTCAGAGATTCATTTGGCCATTTCTTTCATCGCTTGTGGGGCCCCTGTGCCTGCTGAGGGCTAGTCCTGTATTGGATCCAGAACATTGCAGACCTGGTCCTGTCTTGGTTCTGGGAGACAGGTCTGGGAACCTATAGGTGGCTGTAACTGAGGCTTCCTCAGGTAGGCAGAGTCCTGCAGGACATGTGAGTGCTTCAGGCCAGGGAGCAGAGGTCGAGAGGGTTGTGTAGGCAGAGGGCCTAGCCATTCACAGCCACTGTGGCCTGGTCCAGGCAGTGCAATGATAGCATCCAGAGCTTTGTCAAATAGAAATAGGTGTGTTCTCTCTCTCTCTCTCTCTCTCTCTCTCTCTCTCTCTCTCTCTCTC